CATATTACCTTCTGTTGAAAGTATGCGACTTCTCCTTCTCACATGCGTTGAAAGAGCTCTGTCCTGAAATCCTTCGAGAACCAATGGTTTTAGACGGATTTCGGCACGCGCGTGTTGCGGCGCGCGCATGTGGCCCGCATGTTATAGCTAAGACGCTGAAGTCATGGCCGCATTGGTTTCGGAAGGGGCTCGCTGTTCCTTAGGTCATTGCGTGGTTGTTCTTCTAGCCCTCCTCGTGCACCCAGGTGGTGCCAAAAATGGGTTTCGTTCGTAATTTAGCGTTTCTTGTTTCGTCAGCCCGACTGTTTTATTTGATGCGGATTCGCGCATTCGGCGCATGACAGATCAACGCAGATGCGCAGCGTTGGCGGCATGATAATGCTGGTCTTGGACGAGATTGCTAATGCCGTGTGGCTTTCAGATGGTTTCAGCAAGTGCGCGCTGGCAGATATGAATCGGACAGTTCTGGTTGAAAGACAGAAGTGTTCTAATGTTGTGATGTTCAAGTGTTTGCAGATCGCGTGTGCTTGGTATGGATTCTGGTCGCAGTCGTTTATCCCAAAGCCGTGAGATAAACGACTGCGCGCGCATCGTATCATTCGAATGTGATAAGGAGGGTGGTAACGGCAGGGCCGGGAATCTGTGATTCCAGCCAGGCGGAACAGCAAGCGACAAAGGCACACCAGATGTAATTTGCAGTGTCCCAGGGGGTGGGGACATGACCTTGGGGGGATTCACTCTTCCTCGGAAAAGAAAATTTCTCCGAATAGGCTTGCCCTATAGGAGTCCCAGCCCATCGTAAGTAATTAGTCTTTCGCATTCCCCTTTTTCCAATGCCCCCCCTTTTCCAATGGCAACCCCCGTTTTTCAATGGCACTTGCTTGCTTGCTATTGCGTGCTTGCTCTCGCTTGCTTGCTCTTGCTTGCCCTTGCGTGCTTGCACTTGATCGCTGGCTTTTGTGTACTTGCTATTGTTCGCTTGCGCTTGCTTGCCTCCGCTTTCTTGCTTGTGCTTGCTTGATGTTGCTCCTCCCGTTCTCCTCCCGTCCTGCTCCCGTCCTCCTTTCGTCCTCCTCCCATCCCCCTCTCGTCCTCCTATTTATTCGGAGTCAACGCTGGCCGATACGATCTTCCTTTTGACAGGGGAATCGACGCACAGTAGTGCAAGCTACCGGGGCGCCCACGAGGTGCCTACGGGCGGGCACCAGGCGAGGCATCGGTAAAAAAAACCGAGCGCGGGGCGCGTTCAAAGGCAGGCGCCAGGCGAAACCTATACATTGGGGGCCAAGATCCTGTCACTTCAAAATGTTTTAATCCTGGGCCTCATCCTGGCCATTAGGGTGCCCGGCACAAAAGACGCTACCCTAGACAGCTTTGCGGGGGCTGGGGAGAGCGCGGGGAACGCTGCTCATTGGGTAGGCCCGCACCCGCGGGGCGGGCGCGCGACACCTTGCTCGCGTCGCCGCGCCGCGCGGGAGCGCGCGGGCGCAGCGACACCCCGCAACCCGCCCCAACCACAAGAGCGGCGAAGGGTGAGGGGAAAGGAAAACGCCGCTACCGCGGCAAGCCGACGCGCGCGGCGCGCGCGGAGCGCGCAGGCCTCGCGATTGGCCCTTGCGCGCCCCTGCGCCGCGCGTCGTGCGCGGGGTCATGTTTACCCTCCCCCCACCGCGGGGGGGAAGTCATGAAGGGGACCAAAACCCAGAACACGAAGTACACGAGGACCTGAGCGCGCCCCCCACCTCCAACCTCATACCCAACGGTCCCACCCGCCCCCCCCACCCTGCGGGCCGCGCGGCGATTCGCGGTGCCCGCGGCGGGGGGGGAGGACGGAGAAACGCCGCAGGATACGCGTTTTTGTGACAACGGACAAGACTGCGCAGCGTTGTGCCCCACAAAAGACGCTACCCTAGACAGCTTTGCGGGGGTTGGGGAGAGCGCGGGGAGCGCTGCTCATTGAGTAGGCCCGCACCCGCGGGGCGGGCGCGCGACACCTTGCTCGCGTCGCCGCGCCCCACGGAGCGCGCGGGTGCAGCGACACCCACGGCACTTGCTGCACCGGCGCGCGAGGGAAGGCCCATCGCCGCACTCGCTCGAGATGCCTAACATGCTACTCCTTTAGCCTTCATCATCGCCGCTGGACGACCGGTCGCCGTGCGCTTCCCTGGTGGAAGCCGCCTCCAGTTCGTCCTTATCTAAATAGGACAGGAAAGCCGCAGAACGCCAATCTCCGGCTCGGAGGATGTCTGCCAGCCGCGAACCTCGGACGGCCATGTCTTGCGCGTGACCCCTGCGAAGATCGCGCGTGCGATACGCATGATGCTGGGGCGCCCCGAGCTTTTGCAGGGCGGCGCGCAGCGCCGTTAAGACCACGTCTGGGCGGAAATGCGCGAAAGGCTGTCCGGACTCGACCTCGGCGCAAAACTTGCCCAACGTGTGCGCGGGGCGCGTTGCTTTACAGCGCGCGCACCAACGGGCCCGCGACACCGTGATCGGCGAGGCGCGGTTCTTGCGCCGGCGCAGAGTAAGCGAAATCGAATTGTCATCGAACCGTGGGCGGGAAGGACTTCGGCTCGCCCGCCTTCGTTGGATCGTTTGCACGAGCGACGTGAATCGGAAGAGCTTCAGAGGGCAGGCGCAGCAATAATATATACGCAGCTAGGAGAAGCATTCGCAGCGCGCGCCCTGAAGGCTGGTGGGCGAGATGCTTCAGCAATTTCGCGAGAAGCGCTTCGCGAATGAACATTCTTGAGCGAGCTTGCCAAAGGCTGCGCGCCTGCACTGCTCGAGCAGCGCGCGCGACTGCAGGGCCCGCAGAGGCGTCGACCGATACGCGTGACACGATGCACGCTAAGCTTACGCGCGAGAGATTATTGTCGAACGTGCCTCTGCAGCGAAAGCACGTGCTCCACGACGCCGAGCCATCTGGCATGCGTGGGGCGATGGATTCCGCGTCGCAGCCGAGTCTGTCATCGCAAATGTTGCTCAACGGCGGAAGCCGCTCATCACATTGGGCCGCGTCTTAGGGCAGCTACCCAACATGGCGGCAATTCTTGCAGAGATTGGCCAATCGCTGATTCCGCGCCGCGCGATCCCCGGCTGCAGGGCCCCCACCTCGCGGCGGGGGCCCGCGCCCGGCACAATCGCGTGCTAGCTCGCCATGCCGAGAACCAACTCAAGACCCCGCGCGGCGACGCACTCCGCGGCTAAGTCAGCACATTTGGCCGCTCTCCGTCGGACGCGGCGACTGCGGCTGCGGGGCGCGCGCTCGGGCGCGTCCGGCGCGGGGGCGCGCTCGTCGCCCGCTCTCCGCGCGGCTGCAGGCAATTTCTCAGCCTCGCTAATTTGTGCCAGCAAGCTGTTTCGCAGGGCGTCGGGACTGACGCCTCGCTCACTGTCCGCGTCGGGAACGGGCTCAAACAATCCGATTCGCGCGAAATCCAGATCCTGCAGCGCGAGTATATCGCGCCGCCCACCAGCGCGAAAGCAGTGACAGGTGGAAGCGTTGGCAAGGCATTATGCACTTCATGAGACAGCGACATGGTTCTCTTCTGGCCGAGATCTCCGCCTCGAGCCTGCGTCGTCAGCGCCATGGCATGCGCTATGATATGGGGCGAGACCGCGACTCCCAAAACGACTTGGGACTTGCCGAAGCGCGCGACAATTCTGCCCCATTCCGCCGCACTGGAACGAGGGGGCCGCAATGAAAACCTTTCTGCTGCGCTTCGCGCCGCGGCCTGCGCGCGACCGCGCCCGCGCTGCGCCCTGCCACTTACCGGCGCGCGCTCGCCGAGAGAGCGCGGGCAAGGAGTGTGCTTGGAGCGAAGAACTCCGCCGCGCTCAGCTGCGGCGTCACAGAGTTCACCCCTAGCAGACGCAATAATTCGCACTTTTCTCGCGACGGGAGGTCGGCGACATTCTCTCCCGACGGCGCTCGGTCGAACCAGGCCCCGCATCCGATGCGCGCGATGAGGTGCCACAACGCATGAATAATTCGCGATTGGTCCCAAGCGGAGGCGCGGCCACTGCGCGCCGCTGCCTCCGCGCCAACGTTGTCGGACCAAAGGACACCTCGACGATTTGCCAACCTCTCGCAGAAAGTAGCCGGCCATGACGCTATGGCGAGCAACTCGAGCGCCATGATCTGGGAGTCGCTTCGCGACGCCAGATCTGCCAGCAAGCCGCCGCCCGGCGGGGCGCCAGACCAAAAGGCGAGGCCGTCGATGAATAAAACGGCTGCCAGCCTCGGCTCAGACCCTCCAAGGGCGTCTGCAAAAAGGTGCGCCTCTTGCCGTTCTGGCGGCAACCACGGCTGGACCTGGTGCACTCTGAGGTCCAGCACGTCTGCCCACCAGGAAAGCGCGAGAGCCAGCGGTCCTCGGACCTCGCCACGCCGCGAATGCTGTTGCGAGAACAGAGGTTGGAGCATCACGCACACCCTAGCCTTTCGAAGCAGCGTTGCCCTGCCCAGTGGAGGGCGCCAGCCAACTTGCTGGCCTGGCCGGCGCATAACTTCTCGGCGTCGAGCTCCTGCCTGATGAACAGCGCCCATTTGTGCGCCTTCTTCGGCGCCGGGAACAGGCGGATGCCAGTCAGAGAAAACGACGCGTGCAAGCTTAAGATCCCCCGCGCGTCGCCACGCTCCAACTTTCTGTCGGATACTGCTTGGGCCCAGCAACGCACGCGCAAGTCTGGCCAGAGAGGCCATGGTGCGCCCCTTTGCTCAGGCGCGCACGGGCCAAAGAAGTCGACCACGTATCGGAGGGCAGCGATTCGTATAAATTTTCAGGCGAGATGAGCAGGGCTGCGCCCGCGCGGTCCCAGCCGAAAACCGCGGCCAGCGCTCCAAACATCATCGCTAAATTACCCGTGGCCCAAGTGTCCCCGTCATGCACGTAGGTGCTGTGCGCGGCCCACCTGTGCTCAGGAGCACTGGGGATTCGACGATAGGCGGAATCGATGTTCGCCTTGAACAGAGCCGGCGCGCATCCATGCCGATCGCGAAAGAAGCGCATCGTATCGCGTCGACGAGTACGTCCGCGCCGTCGAGTTGCAGACGTTCCGCAGGCTGGCACGCCGCGTTGGCGCCGCCCCTGGATTCGTCGTCCACAACGCGGATTTTTGGCGCCCCATCCTCTCTTACGCCCCGTATGATTGAAAGCCGCAGCGAAAGGAGAACGCCTCTACCGTGGCAAGCCGACGCGCGCGCCGAGCGCGCAGGCCTCGCGATTGGCCGTTCAGCGCCCCTGCGCCGCGCGTCGTGCGCGGGGGTATGTTTACCCCCCCCCCCGCCGCGGGGAGAATGTCATGAAGGGTACCTGAGCGCGCCCCCCACTTCCAACCTCTTACCCAACGGTCCCGCCCGCCACCCCCCCCCCCCCCGCGGGCCGCGCGGCGATTCGCGGCGCCCGCGGCGGGGGGGGGGGTAAACGCTGCAATGTACGCGTTTTTGTGACAACGAGCAAAACTGCGTAGTGTTCTGCCCAACAATTAGAAACGAGCACAGTTAGGAATGAGCACGATTAGAAATGAACGACGCGTAGGCGCACCCCCTGAGCGCGTGGCCCCCGTGATGCGCCCCAGGGCGCCCGCCAGCCGGGCACCTGCCGAAACCCCAACACACCCGTCCAAGTCCCTTTCACGCAGCCGAAGTAGGAACCCCTAAGTGCAAGCACTTCGCGCAACAAGAAGAAGCGAATCAGCGATTCGAGCGGCGAACGGCGAAACGCCACCGAGGACCTCCAGAGGATGAGGAGGTCCGAGGACCAGCGTAAACCCAAGACTCGTCAACGATATTACAATAAATCCTCGTTCCAAGTTTCCTGTTCATGGGATCAAACACGGATTTATGTCCACGGAGGAAAATGTTTTGTTGGAAGATAGCAGTTTGAAGCTCCGTCATTGTACCAGAAAGCCACAATTGGGATATCAGCGTTACAATTCACCCTTATTGTTGCGCTTTGACGATCCTGAACCGCGCCAGAACACCATTCCTGGGATTTCAATTCCGCGGATCAAAGTGAATATTGCGCCTTGACATTCCGACATCATGCCAAACACACAGTTTCTGGGACGCTGGACACGAGAATCCTCGAGACTGCTGCAGGCTCTAAAGACGAGTGTGCGCGGCGCTAAGGCGAGAACCACATTTTGAAAAGGAGCCGCCCTCCATCCGTGAAGCTCTTGCAAGTGATTCAGTTGAGTGTGCGCGGCGCTCAGGCGATAACCACATTTTGAATAATAACCGCTCTCCATCCGTGAAGCCCTTGCAAACTTGCAAGACGGATGTTCGATGTGTTAAGGTGAGAGCGAAGTATTGAAACAGGCCGCTTTCCATCTGTGAAGTTCCTGCAAACATTTAAGACGAATCCGCGCGGTGCTAATGCATTAAGGCGAGCGCTTCATTCTGAAAACGGACCGCCGTCCATCCGTTCAACCTGACAGGTTTGTAAGGCGAACGTCGGCGGCGCTAGGGCGAGAGCCACATTTCGAAAGCGGGCCGCCCTCCATCCTTGAAGCCGCTGCAATCTTCAAGCTTCAGTACCATAAACTGCAAGGGAGTCTCCGGCCAAACGCCCGGCCCGCCCGTTCGACCAGCCTCGGGGTGCGACAGCGAGGAGTCATCTGTAAGGACAGGGATGGGGGAGGAGGGTCTGGCGGGGGCGGCAGGAGCAGAAGGAGGAGCGGAGCGGAGCGGAGTGGCGGTGGGCACCGAAGTACCCGGGCCCTCTGGGCAGGAGGAGAGAGGAGAGAGGAGAGAGGAGGAGGAGGAGGAGGAGGAGGAGGAGGAGGAGGAGGAGGAGGAGGAGGAGGAGGAGGAGGAGGAGGCGGGGGAGAGGGACGCTGGAGGTCTGGCGGGGGGCGGGAGGCGCCCCGAGTGGCCGGCCGAAGGACGAGATCATGCGCTGGAAATGGGTGCAGGACTCCGAGAGGCGGCTCAGAGCGGCGGGGCTGCGGGTGCACTCGAGGCACCGGTCAGACCCAGAGGACCGCACGGGATTCAGCATGAAAGAATCGAGGAACAAATAGTTTCATGAACACCGAAATCTCTGAGGTCCGCACTGATTTCTTGGACAGGCGATGGGCCCGGAGCGTGCCAAGTGCGACGCCGTAGGCGCCGCCAGGGGGCTCCAGCGCCGATCCGCGCGGACTTCCGACAGTGTAAGTTCATGTCGTTATTTGGTCCCCGAAGGAGTGGGTCCTGGCCCAGACATCCAATTTCTTCAGCGAAACGCAGGACGGAGTTGTGTCGGTGCGTTCGGCCTCTGGAGGCCTTCAGTGGACTATGGGACCGTCAGGAAACGACTCTGGAGAAAGGTCGGGACATCGGCTATCCCACATGAGAAAAAGGACATCGGACATCTGGGTGGAAAAAGTGGCCCTGAATCTCTTGGTCATTTTCGGAGCCCCTGGGGCTCCTCCTGGGCCCTGGACCGTCAAGAAGTACTTCGGGGTGAAAGGCCGCCTCCAGGGAAAGATCCAGGATCCAAGGCCCCGTTCCTTCAGGACCCTTGCCCTTCATGGCAAGGAGGGGGGACAACCGCAGGGATGGCGCATTTCCTCCTACTCCTCCTCCCCTTTCTCCTCTTAGTCATTCTGCTGCTGAGGCACCGAGGCACCGAGACACGGATGGTCTGAGAGCCCGCTGGCCGCGACCATCCCCCCCCCCAAGGGCCAGTCGGCGACGGGGGGAAAGGCAGAAAGCTGGTGAGCCAGGTGGCTCCGGCGGCGGCCGCCCCTGGAGTCCCCAGCTGGTGGGTTCTACGGTACAGGGCAGAAGGCTGCGACGGCAGAAAGGAGGGAGACGGAGACGCGGAAGATCATTCTGCTGGTGGTCCTCCTCCTTCTCCTCCTCCTCCTCTTCCTCCTCCTCCTCCCAGTCTGCCTCTCATTCTGCCTCGCTCCCACCTCCTCCTCTCCTCCTCCTCCTCCTCCTCCTCCTCCTCCTCCTTCAGCTTTTGACTTGCTCTGGGCGTTTGTTCGCTCCTGCGTGCAAGCGTGCCTCATAAGTTCTGGCGCGTTCAGTTCACAAGGGGCTTCCCACGCAAGCAACAAGAATCTGGAGGTGTGCGTCGTGAAGCTGACGACCGTCCTCGAGACACTAGAGAACATCGTGGAGCCGGAGGCGCACTACTGGAGCCGGAGGCGCACTACTGGATGCTGGTGGCGATCTGCGTGGCTTTGCCGGTGACATTTGATACGGCCGGCCCGAGGTACAAGATCAAGGTCGGTTCGATGAGGGTATCCTAATGTTCTTCGCGTTTGTTGGATGCTCTTGAGCATCCTGGGGAGGATACCCTTGGCTGTTCTGTGTGTGTTCTGGCCGGCGGAGGGTCTCATGTTCTTGAGGGATGTTCTTCGGTCTTAGATCCGACACGCTGGAGATGACGTGCCGCAGCCTGGAGCACACCAGCCTGCTGGAGAAGCCACGTGTTTCTCATACTGGGGAGGGCGCCGACGCAGCCGTGTGGATTTCTGCGGGGGGGGGGGCCTCGCCCGCTCTGTCCCGCCGGTGTGGTCCCCGCTCTCCTCTGGATTGCAGATCTCCGCTCCGGCGGAGTGCCCCCTGCAGAGCCGCATTCGCTGGACACGCGGCCCGCCTGGCCGCCCGCCGCGCGGTCGGCCCCGGGCTCTCGAGCGGCGCCCAGCTGCCCGCTGCCCTGCCGCCTCCGCGCGCGGCCGCCGCCCGCAGCCGCCGAGCGGGCCGCCTGCCGACGCTCCAAGCCAGCGCCCTCTCCTCTGGACTGCGCATGGGAGAGATCAAGCCGGGGGTCTGAGAGAGAGAGAGAGAGAGAGAGAGCAGAGGGGAGGCAAAGGGGCGGAGAATTTCGCTTCCGGGAGCGGCGGCCGCCCCAGGAAATATTCTCCTCCTCCCCCTCCTCCTCCTCCTCCTCCTCCTCCTCCTCCTCCTCCTCCTCCTCCTCCTCCTCCTCCTCCTCCTCCTCCTCCTCCTCCTCCTCTCCTGACAGGATCAAGACGTCGGATGCTGGGGAAAGGGCGCTGCGCAGGTGCGCTATGTGCGGCGCAGCGGTCGCGGCCACCGCCACCGCAGGGCTTGCGCCTTCTCGTCGCCGATGGGTCGGCGTCTGGTCCTGAGCTGCGCAGGGCGGGGGGGAAGCCTGTTGCTACGCATGAGGTCGGTGCCAATGAGAGCGGGTGGGTGGGATCCGTTACTTCGTGGATCTGCCATGAACAACGGCGCTGGAGCATTTGAGGTTTTGATTCGGCGGCCCCGGTGCGTGTCTGTGGTGTCCCGGCGGCGCGCGGAGGCAGGGAGGCAGGGCGATGAGCTGCCGCATCTCAAGCCAGCGATCGGGCAGAAGGGGCACGGGCCTCATCATCTCTGGGAGGACGCCGCCTGGGCGGCTGACGCCTGACGGAGGGAATGCTGAAACTTGGCGCGTGGCGGCCTGAGAGTCCGCTGAGGCGCTGGCGCAGTCGCGGGGGGGGGGGCGCGCGGTTCACTCGTGGGTGCCCTCAGCGCAGCGCGAGCCGTCCTCGCGTCTCCTCCACATGCTCCGCATCCTCCTGCTCCTCCTCATCCTCATCCTCCATCCTCCTCCTCCATCCTCCTCCTCCTCCTCCTCCTCCTCCTCAGTCCTCCTCCTCCTCCTCCTCCTCCTCCTCAGTCCTCCTCCTCCTCCTTCTCCTCAGTCCTCCTCATCGTCCCTCCTCCTCCTCCTCCCTCCTCCTCCTCCTCCTCCTCCTCCTCCTCCTCCTCCTCCTCCTCCTCCTTCTCCTCCTCCTCCTCCTCCATCCTCCCCCCTCTCTGTCTTCCCCCTCCATGCTCCCGCCCTCCCCCCCTGTCCACGACAATGTCTCACTTTCCGTCTCCTCGTCATCCTCCTCCCCCGCCTCCTCTTCTTCCCCTTCCTCCTCGTCATTGTCTCGCCCTCCCAACCTTCCTCCTTCCCCTTCCTATCCTTAACCTTCCCCCCCGTGTCAGAGCGGAGTGGAGCACGCCATCCCCGCGGGCCGATCGGCCGCGAGGCTTGCGGCCACTTCATCCAGGGCGTCGAGGGCACCTGGGTCCGGACTGCCCTCCGGGAGATTTGTGCGCAGTAGGGGCAGCGGCGGGTTGCGGCGCAAGGGCTGACCCGCAGACGGCGTGGGGAGCAAAGTCGTTTTGCGTGCCGTCTCCGTTGCTTCCGCTCCGCAGGAAACAGTGATCGGCCCCACAGCGTCGCTGCCGCCGCTTCCATCCGACCGCCCTTCCCCCCATCATTCCCTTCAGCCTAGCCGTCTTTCTTCAACATGTCTCGATTTCGCAATACGTATACGATATACATATATATACACATAGATAGTTGAATATATGTAGGTATGCACACATGTGTGTATACATATATGAATACACATATATATACACATAGATCCTTACATGTCTTTTTTTTTTCTCTCTCTCTCTCTCTCTTTCATTCCCAGGCTCTCCATCGAGGCCTGGAAGTTTTACATAATCACTGCCTGCAGATCCGATATTTCGTGAGTTCGGGAGACGGTGGACGTGGATACGTGTGGGCCACTGGGGGCCCAACTATATCCGCACACGCCCCGTCCACTGGGATCCTAGGACATCGGTTCGCCAGGCGGCGTCTATGTATGATATTTTAACGCTTCGTACATCCCCACCATACCATACAGCAACGAGCAACGCTGCCCAGACGAGCTGCATTGATCAGAACGTACGGGAGCACGCAGTGGAACAAAGCAGTGGGACAGCCGTCAAAGCGAAGATCGGGATCAGCCTGACTATGCCCAAGAGTCAACCGTACATGCCTTTGCGGATCTGTCGATGTGGAGCATCTTGGCAGTTTACTCGGGCCGTCTTGGGGTCCTCTTGGAGGTCTTTGGGACACTATTGGGGCAATGTGTTGGGCCATCGACCAGAGAAGGTAGGATAACTAGTTACGTCCCCCCCGAAGCTCTAAAGTCTCCTCGGTGAGCCATCTCGGGGCCATCTTGGGCCCCTTTTGGGATCCTCTTGGGCCATCTAGGATATTCGAGCCATCTTGAGGCATCGGAAGCTCATCAGAAGCGAACAGGCGAGAATGCAGCAAGCATTGATGTCCTTATATCTTGGAAGGATTTGGGCCTCTCGGGGGGGTCCTTGGAAGGCTTCGTGGCCAATTGGAGCCGTCTTGGGACGGTCATGGTGCCTCTTAGAGGCATGTTGGAAGTTATCTTGAGCCATATTGGACTATCTTGTGCGGTCGTGGAGGCCCGCTGGGGCTATCTGGGGCCATCTTGGGCAATCTTGCGCGCTCCAACGACCTGCGACTCCTCCCTCGACCGAGGGAGAGGGGGCCGGGGGAGAGGCAAACCTCTCCCCGCAGGGGGAGGAGGAGGTAGGAAGAATGACCGAGGGAGAGGGGGTAGGAGAGAGGCAAACCTTCTCCCCGAAGGGGGAGGATGACGTTGGAAGAGTTCACTCCGTAGGAGCCTGGAGGGCTGGCGGGACTCTGACCTCGCAAAGTCCAGGGCCCGCCCCCCCAGACGTCCGACGCCTTGACTTTTCGGCACGGGCTCCAGGAGCCGCAGCCTTCTCGCCAGGCCCGGCGTCTCATCCTGAGCCGCTGCTGGAAATCGACGACCTGTAAGAGTGACCCGTCGCCGGAGTGGCCCTCAGCCGGAGTGACCTTTGGTGTGGGCGCGCCGGGCCCCCCCCGATCGCCGAGCGCGAATGCGAGTTCGTAGCGTCCTGCGCGCTTGGGTCGAGCCCCCCCGCGGGCTCCCCGAAGGCCGCGCACCAAAGGCACTCCTTGCGCGTCGTCGACGGACGTCCTGGGGGCGCGGCAGACAGCAGAGACAGATCGCTGTGGCCCTCTCTCGTGCCGTGGCGCCCCTTCGCCACGCCTGCGCGCAACCTGCTTCGGCGACGGGGCCTCGGAGGCCACGCTGAGGTGGAGGGGGACGCCGATACTTATATGTGTATATAGGGACAGACATATGGAGAGGGAGTCAGAACGAGACAAAAAGAGAGGGAAAAAGAGAAATATATATATATATATATAGAGAGAGAGAGAGAGAGTCAGAAAGAGAGTGAGGACGAGAGGGAGAGAGAGAGGGAGAGAGAGAGAGAGGAGAGTGTGAGAGAGGGAGAGGGAGAGGGAGAGGGAGAGGGAGAGATGGGAAATCTGCAGCAGTTGCGCGCACGGCATCCCTCCCCCTCGTCCGGGTTGCTGCGGGCGCCCGTGCGCGCTCGCGCTCCCCTGGTCCGCCCCCCCCCCCCCCCGGGCCCACGGCTGCCTCGGCCTGCGCCCGAGGGAGCCCTCCCCTCCTTGCTGCTGCCTCCGCGCGGCCCCCTCGCACGCGGGGGAGGCCGCGCACGCGCCGAACGCCCGCGCGGGCGCCTCGCTCCGCGACCTCGGCCGGCGGGCGCGAAGCTCCGCGGCCGCAGCGGCGCCTCGCTGCGCGACGGGACGCGGAGGGGCGCCTCGCGCGCGGGGGTCCCGCTCCACGCCTCGCTCCGCGAGCGGGCATTTCTCGCGCGGGGGGGGGGG